ACCACCGGTCAGTGTCGCCGGCCAAATTGTGTATGGACAGTGGTTTGTGATTGTGAATGTAGCCGAATGAGCCCCTGCAAATCAATTTGGACAAATCTCTAACTTAAAAATCCCCGAGAGAGGAAAAAAAATATATATATAACTTTTTGAAACCTTTACATATAGTAAACTCATGCAAGACAACAGGGAAGTCAACTATGCAAACGACACAAAATCGACACAAACTCCACATAACGTAGATAAAAAGAAGACAACTGACGACACAACAATATAGATAAAAAAGACAACACATAATCGACATAAATATGACACCACTATGATGATATTAAGGATAATGTGGGTTAAACATGATACAGATTTGCTGAAGAAACTAATTAATCTGGGAGTGGGCAGAACTTACCGGAGAGGAAGAGGGTGGCCAAAGTGAGGAAGAAAAGCACTGGAACTGCCATTTGTGGTGAATAGGATCTAGAAAAAGATTTTGAAAATCAAAGTTCTAGAGTTTGAAATAGTGGAGAAATTAAATTGGCATGGATGGTATTAAAGTTAACGAGTTAAATAGGTGTGCGGAGAGTTGTGAATTGTGATCTTATGAAGGGAGTTATATATGCATAATAAGCAATACCAAGATTTTAGGACATGTGACATTTTTGAATCCTTTAATTATGGCCTCAATCTTATTTTGTCAAATCTATTATTGTGTCTCTTGTATTGTCGACACAATTACCTAAATTGATTTTACAGTATTAAATTCCCTTCTAATTACCAAAAAATAGAATCTTCCAAAATGGTACATATATTAGTGAATTCAATTCATTTTAAATTTTGAAAATAAAATACCTTGTGAACATCTTCCAATAGTGATTCACCAGCAATTATCCGTGTCTGAAGGCACGGTGTTACTCGTAAATTAGTTACAAATATTTGATCATACATTAATGTAAAGTAAAATATAACATTGTAGTAAACGACGAACAAAATGAATTCGCTAATATTTTTTATAACATCAACCAACATGCATAACATTTATTTTTACATTAAATTGTTAAAATAGAGGAATGAGAGAGAGAGAGAGAGATTTGTTTGATTTAAGAAAAAAATTTGAGGGAATTAAATTATGGAATATCAATTTTAGAAACTATAAATTTTGAGCAATAAAAATATTTCAAAAGAGTTAATGTGCTACGTCAGATCAAACCAATTTGAGATATCAATAGTTTGAGATAACGTCGTCCATTAGATGATATTTTTTTTTTGTCATAAAACTATTTATACCACTATTTGTCTCCAAAATTCAAATTCGTTCAATTTTATTATATATATAGCTCATATGACGGGATCTAATGATCCTAAATTACAGGGTCTAACCAGTCTTATCAATCGAGGGCCGTAAAAAGAATAATGTCATTTAAATTTAAAAATTTGATCTAATTTATTGATTTAATAATAAAATTTCATTGGAACCATTGGATTAACATTAAATCTCAATATTTGATAGGATTCATAATCAATCCAAATATCATAGTAAATTAGGTCAATAATATCGTAAACGAGTAAATTTGTTTTTTCCCCATACATTTGGACACGTGACTCTAGTAGAGTTGTCTAATCTCCCTAGTAGTATGACATGTGAATCTAGTTAAATATTAAAAAAATTAATATTCCTTCGGTATAATTTTGATACAAGGAAGAAACTAAGATGACTTTGTTTACAAAGACTAGATCAAACAATAGTAAGCTCGTACAAGTTTTAAAGCTAAGTTTGAGTAACGGCAATTTTATGTCCGATTCTTACACTAACAATTGTCTCAGGGTACGGGTTAAAAGGAATAACTTTGATAGAATAAAATAAAAAAATATGTAGGGCTCGTATATCTCGTATTTGATAAGTATAAAATGTATCAAAAATTTCATTCAAATTTTATTCAAACTCGTTTTGAAAATTCAATTTTAACTCATCTGCATGAGTTAAATAAAATCCAAAAAGGGGTTGGGTTTTTTTTTGTCAGATAGGATAACTGATATAAATAACCAAATTGTCATGTTCTCCTCTCTCTCTCTCTCTCTCTCGCGACTGTTTCATCTTCTCCTCCTATTTTTTACATATTTGATTTTGTTTTCAATAAATTTGTTATGTAAGACTCTCTGTTTACATACCTCAAAAAGACCAAAACTTCTTATTCAACAAGAAAAAGTGAAAAACTAAAATAACTTTAATAAATAATAAATAATATTTAGTTAACTTTAAATAATAAATTATCTTTAATAAAATAATATCTTATTTATACTAAAATTAATTAATAATAAAATAACTAATTAATGGGAGCTTAACATAATATTGGATTAGATACATAAAGGGTAAAATAGTCAATAACACCATATTTTAATACCCTTCTCCACAGAAATACTTATGTTTTAAAAAGATAGCATCACTGTTTTAAAACTCGGCCAGTTGGGTTAACCCCGATAACCATCCACCCACTACCTCAACCGGGCCCAGTCTTTAAATTTGATCAATTATGTAATTATCCCGTCAAAGAACCATCGTATCTATCAAAACCCGACACAGTTAGTTAAAACCGGACGAGTCCTCATAATTCAGGATCATTCCATTTTATTTTTCAACTTACACAAATATTTAAATTTTATTAATGACCCACTTCATTTGACAAGCGCAGCCACACTGGTAAGAAACAGACTATCAAACCCAAGCTACTTTCAACCAGGGTGCTACATTGCTTTACAGTCTAATTATAGTAGAGATGGTTAGAGCTCTTGACTTGGAGTTCCGATGTGGGATCAATGAAATTGCTTGCTCTTTGCTTTTTTAAATGCCTTTTAGTATACCATGTGCATAAATCTCATATCAAATAATTAAAATAAATATAAAATCGGGACTCATTTTAATTTTCATGGCTATTTTAATATTTTTTATAATATTTTTAAATTATTTTTATTTTTTATTATATGACCAGTTGAACCAGTGACCAATTGACTTTGCAGGGTTAACGGCTGAACCAGATTTTAAAACTATGGATAACATATAGCCATTAAATCTTAACCAATCCAATAATAGATGAATTTGAATTGGATAGAAAATAATATTTTTTTAGATCTTCAATCTAGTTCAACCCTATCATCCAAACATACCCTCAAAGAACAAGAATCAAACTTCTTATTTATTTTACAAAACATGAAAAAAAAAAAACAATGCTATGATATATTTTGGCGACATAATTTGGCAATTTTATAATTGTGGTAAGTGGATTATTAGTGACCACAATAAATTTTATAATTGGAAATTTTTAATAATAAATTATATTATTTATTTAATATTCATAATATATTAAGTCCCCAAATTATATATACAAATTAGGTGCAAATAACATTAGTTACGAAAAAAAATACTAGACTGACAAAATAATAAAATAAAAATAGAAATCAATTGATGCAAAACTACAATAATAATAATTTTAATCCCATTTTTATTTATTTAAGATTTAAGATTTATTTACCATGTCAATCACCACTAGTTTGAGCTCTATTTTTGAGTCAATTTAACATTACTCAAAAGATATAATTTAATGACTTGAACCAAGATCTTGAGTCCCTTAATGGTGGTCCAAATGCCAATCATTTGAGGGGTGTGTGTGTGTGTGTGTGAGAGAGAGAGAGAGTGAGAGAGAGAGAGAGAGAGGTTGTGCCAAATATTTCATTAGTTCCTTCCCTCGTAAAGAGAGGTGAAGATCAAAGAGCACCTCCTCCTCCAAATGGTCTGATCATTTACATCCCTCCAAATTCTAGTTAATATTAACCACCAAAACTGCTTAAGCCCTAAATATAGAACCATAAATCGCATTGCCTCACAAAAAATCAGAGAAATATCACAGAAAAGAGCGAGATTACATATTCGAAATCCTTATATATATATATAATTTCCAAGCTCATTAATTACTCTCCAAGGCCTTCCTTGCCAACCAAATTTCTGTGCCAACGCCATGGCACTGCCTTTTCGAGCCCTTCTGTCTTCGTCTTTGTTGCTTCTTCTTCTTGTTTTGCTGCCTAACGTCCATGCAAATAATAACATTAAACCAATATGGAGGGGACACAGGTCCCCACTATTGCGGCCAAGGCACCATAGACCAAATTTCAAGCCAGGACCATGGAAGGGTGCTCATGCTACTTTCTATGGAGGGGCTGATGGCTCGCAAACAATGGGTACGTAGTATGCCTGCACGCATATATAGTTGCATGGCAGCATACAATAGATAGATAATGTTCTCGGATAGGGTTAATATGAGTTTAACACAAACCAAGATAGAGTTAATTAATTCTTAACATGATCTCACAAATTACATGACCTGTTAACATAAAAATAAAAGAGTAATACTATTTGGACTTAAAAATTTGATATAATTTTCTGACATAATGACGTGGTTTTAGCATAATCATTGGACCAACACTAAGTTTTAATGTTTGATAAATCCCACAATTAATCCAATGGTCATAGTGAATTATGTCAACAAATTAGGTTAATAAATTAGGTCCTAATAGCATTGCTCAAAATAAAAAGGTAGAATTAGTGTAAAACACAAATGCCTCGATTTTAATGCAATAAACCCAACCATATAATGTGTTGTTTCCTCTAATTTTTTCTTCTCGTGATCTGGTGTTGTCTGAATCCGTTAGAATTAGAAGATATTTAATTTGGTTTTGCTGCTAGAATGTATTTAAGTTTATAGGGACCTAGTGGTGGTGACTTTGATTGAGAGAACAATAGGATCCTCATGCATGTTGAGTTTCTAAATTATGGCATGTACATGTAAATCTAAACACAACATGATTAATGAACACGGCGTGTCAGTGTAAAGACATTTGAAATGATTAATGATACGAATTGTTTTAAGATTCCCCATTACCTAATACGACATGATTCAAGGGCCGTCCATGTGACAATTTTAACTGGCTTGCAATTAGACTATATCGTGTTCTTGGATTGAATGTTAGAAAATATTGCAGGGGGAGCATGTGGTTATGGAGACTTGAAACAGCAAGGCTATGGCTTACAAACTGCTGCATTGAGCCAAGTTTTGTTCAACAACGGGCAAACCTGTGGAGCTTGTTATGAAATAAAATGTGTGAATGATAACCAGTGGTGCAAGCCTGGGCAGCCTTCTTTGTTTGTCACAGCCACCAACCTTTGCCCACCAAACTACTCTCTGTCGAATGACAATGGAGGCTGGTGTAATCCACCCAACGAGCACTTCGATTTGGCCCAGCCAGCCTTTCTGCAGGTTGCTGAGTTTAAAGCTGGCATTATTCCAGTTCAATATAGAAGGTATATCGACCCTAATGAGTCTTAACTTGACTTGTTTGAGCCAAAATAACTTGATCTTTGAATATTTGGAGGGGTGGGTTTCATCGTTTCACTTTTGCATGAGAATTTAGTAGTATTTGCATTGGGTTATGGCAGGGTTCCATGCAAGAAGGTTGGAGGAATTCGGTTCACAATAAGTGGAAATCCTTACTTCACCTTGGTGTTGGTGTGGAATGTGGGAGGCGCGGGAGACATAACGAGCGTGCAAGTGAAGGGTGACAAGAACGTGAAATGGACAACCATGAAGCGCAACTGGGGTCAAAAATGGGAGACCAACACCGTCTTAGTTGGGGAATCACTCACCTTTCGAGTCAGAGCAAGTGATGGCAGAAGCTCAACTTCATGGCATGTTACCCCCAAGAATTGGCAGTTTGGTCAGACCTTTGAAGGCAAGAATTTTAAGTAGAATAATACATGAAGGCCATGATCCCCCTCCTCTTATTATCATCATCATCTTTTTTTCTTTTTTTTTTTAATCTTCTCATGAGTTAGGGCTTGTTTGGGTTGTCCCTAGAGCTTCCTGGGCATGGAAAAGTTATTGCACTACCATGCATGTGAGGGTTATTTTATAAATTATCTTCATCTTGTTTGAATTTATTTGTTACCCTCAGTGGCAATGATTGGTTATAATAACTTCGTGGGATTGGAATTTATTTGTGTAACTTAGTTATCACTAATGTTCGACGGACAAAATTTGAAGACATAATTTTGTATTCTAATATTTTGATTAAGGTTGATAATTGAGGTGAGTTTTGTGAGTTTGAGCTGAGTCTGTCGAACTCTTTTTTTTTAAACGAGTTTAAAATTTTGTTGAAACTCGGCTCATTTAGAAAATGAGTAAAGCTTGAGCCGAACTCGAGTAACTTGACTATTTTACATATAAACAAGCTCAGTTTTGCAAGTTCAAGCTAAGTATTTTAGAAACGAGTCTAAAAAGTTATTTAAGCTTGACTCGAGTTCTCCGAGCCCAAATCGGGTCCTATCCGAACTGAGTTCAAGTAACTCAGCTCAATTATCAACCTTCCATTTGATTGATAGAGGATTACATTTAATACTGATACCCACTGACAATCTAAGGATAGAAAGTAAGAAGGATAGAAAGTAAGAGGGATATAATTTCTATCCTTCAAGGAGGGAAAGTAGGAATAATATATTTTTCTTCCTTTGTGTTTGATTGGATGGATGGAAAATAAAAATGACCAACTTTTTTTAAAATTTTTTTATCTAATATTAGAGGTGACAATCGAGTCATGTCGTGTCAGATTCGTATTGAGTTATAAAATTATGAGTTTTTTATATTTCTTGTTCGCGTGTCAGGTCAATTTCAAGTTCGTATTAAGTTATAATCAAATTCGTATCATAAAATTGGTAGCAAGTTTGAGTCGTGTTATCGTGTTGTGTCGAAAATTTTCACCCCTAATTAAGATGAAAAAAATATTTTTTTAATTTAAAATTTAAAATTTTATTTTTTTATTATTTTTTTAAAATTTATATATATATATTAGGGTTTAGGGTTTAGATCTAATTACATGACTATCTCATTTAGATCTTCATTGAACACTATACCTAATATAGTAAATAAAAAAGAAAATGAGTATCAGAAGTCACAAATAAACTGGAATAGATGGAACATCATGAATCCTTGCTTCTATATTGCTAGGTGTACCTACAAAATGTTTGATTATAGTGAAGATAAGAGTATTAATTCCATCGGTTTTCCTTTACCTATTGTTTCATCAAAGATGGGCATGCCTTCATCATCCAAGACTATGACATATTGATTTATATTTGCATAAATCTCACTTGTATTAAATCTCTATTGCTTCAGTTTAGTAAATCACTTTTAATTTTGATCTACCCTTGTCAACCAGCCTTTGTCGCCCAATAGTGAGAGTCTAGATCCCTTTTGTAAGTCCTAGTGAGAGGTAGTCTTGGGAAGAAAACAACAAATCTGAGGGTTGTATGCTAAGGGGTATGCATAATGAGTCAAACATTAATAGTAATTTACAAAATTGAAAACATTTAGATTTAATAATGAGTAGATTATTCATGGCTAGCTCATCTAGATCTTCATTGAACACTATACCTAATATAGTAAATGAAGAAGAATATGAGTATCAGGAGTCACAGGTAGACCGGAGTGGATGGAACATTCCAAAAGTCTCCCATAGAGAAATCTATAAAACTAGTTGGATCTCAAAAGTATTGAATGAAGAACTTCAGGTAAAAACAAATGAACAAGTTTATTCCCTCAGTAAGAATGAAGAACCTTGTCAATTACTTAGTCGAGAAACCCTTAAAAAACATAGGACTAAAGGATTTAATTTTATACATTTAGGTTTAGTTAAAGTAGTAATTAAACCCTTAATTCAACCAGGAAAAAATGCAGCAGCTTTATTAACCTTAAGAGATGTCAGGTTTTTAGACTATCAACCTAGTATCTTAGGATTAATGGAGACTGGTTTTCACAAAAGACCAGTATACTTTAACTGCTTTCCAGACTTCACATTAAGTCTAAAATGCCCAAATACTATAATGGCTTTAACCCTAGGAATAAAACTCTCAGGAGGTATCATTAGGTTAGTAGAAGAAACCAGATCAATAGTATTAATCTATAGGATTTACTATATATGCATTGCCACAAACTTGAATGTGCATGCATTAAAGAAAAGTCCTAAAGATAGTACTCTTTTGATCCAACTTAGCACAAATCAATCAAATATCCAAGTCCCTAAGCAAATCCTTTGGAAGTATGTTAAGCTCCTAGAATCTTAGATAGTTAAAAATGAAAATTATAATAAGGAAAGTAAAAGCACAACCACAGATGTAGAGAACATCCAACAGTTATCTGATGGATTAGTAAGAATCTCCTTTGACTCTGCAAGATCCAGTAGATCAAGCAGATCATTTAATAAACCTATTCAAATTAATGAAGGTAGAAAATCTGAATCACATTCTAGTATATCTAGAAAAGATAAAGATTTAGCTAATGAGTTAGAAAGAAGATTTAGGTTAAAAGCAATCGATAATTCCACCTCACAGATTAGTAAACCATGTTACACTCCATGACAAAATGTCCCACAATCTAATCCTAGAGACGAAGAGAAAGAAGATGATTTCACCCCTTCACCTACGGTTAATGACTTATAGAGTAATGCCCCAATCAATCACCAACTACTCATGATTAGGAAAGAATCTAATATTTTGTTCATGCCTAACAAGAAAGAATTAGGAAAAGAATTTAATTCTAAAAAATATGAATTTAAAAGACAGGAATATTATAAAAAAATTTAATATTCAGCAACAAAGAGAAATAGCTAAGCAATGGATTAAGTTAATGCACAAAATAGAATCTGAAATTTCATTTTTTGATTACATAGAAACCCATCACAAAGAAATAAATGTTATTACAAAACACAAATGGAAAACAACAGAAAATTTCACAATAACCTCTAGTAGAAACTATCACCTTCAGCCACATGAATACTGAAGTAATAGTCCCACCTTTCAAAGTTCCCTCTAGTGAACCTGAAAGAAAAATAGTTGAATAAAACAATTTTACTAATTAGAGTCTAATCACAATAGGCAAATAGTTAGATAAAATTAAAACTAAAATTGACGAAATTAAACCATCTTCAAGTAAAAATTTTAAAAAACCTCTAATTCAATTACCTAAAGATAGGAGTAAGTTAGGAATAAAAGACAGTAAAAATATCTAAAAAATTGAACAACTTATGCAAAAGATGGAAGCTAAAACAGAATCATCCCAAGTAACAATTATCAACCAATATATATATATATTTATCATTGTATTTTTATATAAAATTAATGTATACATAATATATAGACAAACAAGATATATCTCAACACAAATAATTAACTTTTCATCTACTTTCTTTCCGACTTTGGTGAGTTGGAAGAAAAGTTAATCCATCAACTTTTTCATCATTTCTATTTTTCTTTTTTACCAAACATGATATTTTATTTATCCTTCTAACTTTCCATCCTTCTAACTTTCCATCTTTCTATTTTTCTATCATACCAAATGGAGTATAAATTCCAAATCATATGCCAATAGCATTGGTCCTTAGTTGTTACTTAGTACCCCCTTCAACCTGTCCTCAATCTAATGTAAAGTTAGCTGGCTTAAATTCACAAAATTTCTCATGGAGAAGAAGTCCAAAACATGTAATTCAATTTGATTGGTGATAATGGAACACGGAATGAAATAACCATTATTAGATAATGCTTATTCGATTGTTTGGTTGGTTAATTTCACTAGTGTATGAGTAGTTTACTCCATAATATGAAGTGGTATTATCCATCACCCGAACCACCAACACCCCCCACCTCTACCTCCACTTCCCAGGGCGAGCTCGGGGTCTCATGGCTAGAGTCTGGCTTTGGATTCCCAGGTCTGGGACCTGGGGTCTCATGATTCTAGTTGAACAAACTAGTAGAGTCAGAAATTGGAGATCAATTCAACATTAAACGGGAGTCACTAACACAATTAGTTGTCAAGTTCACGGCAACGTTGCCCCGAAAACTGGCAATTTGGTCGGATTAATAAAGGCAAGAGCTTACAAACTAGACTCGTAAGGCCTATTTTCATTGTTCAATCTTCTCTCTTTCTGCTTGGCTCGTGTCAAATGCTTGCCCAACTTCGATGGCTGCTGCACTATTAATATTCTGTCACCCCGTGGAGAAGCAATGCTACCATATTGACAAAAACATCATGAGAAAAAAAAAACACAATTAAATAAAACAGTACCCATCGCGTTTCTTCCAACGTTCAAAAATTGATTCACATTGAATATCACAGTACTCGTTACCACAAAAGCTGACACCTGAACGTCCATTTTGGGACATCTGACAAATTTCGAACAAATGAACAACTTCAAAACTATTTTTGCAAAAAAAAAAAACTTACAAAACTACAGACGATGCAGGTATGTTTTTCTTATGGAATCAGTTTACACCAATATCTCTGAAATGCCAACCGAACGATCCTCATTAGCAGAATTCAATAGTCTCCCACGTCAAAAGATACAGCTGGAATCGACCAAGGAAACTGTAAAAGAACAGCCATCTTCTGTGAGCAATTTACGAGCATGTATAGTTTGTATATCTGCAAAAGCAACCCATACTTGACTGCAGCTGGAAAAAATAGTAGACTTGCTACATTTTTCTTTCCCTTGCAGCACGCAGCAAATTCCACTTTCATTTCACGTTAAATACATCAAGGCTTCAATGATGTCTCAAAAGAACCGTCTGCACATCTACTAAGGGGTGTCATTTTTGCCCATGATTGTGGTTGACACCCCCACCGCTAAGAGCACTGAAGCATTTCCATTTACACCTACCATGACTGCAAATCAAGACCAAACATGTCCGTCACTTAACTTCTTTTGTTTCTTCTTTTTCCTCTTTCCTTCTTTCTCTGTTCTTGCTTCAACACCTGACTGTCGTGATCGTATTTCAAGTAATTTTGCTTTTGCATCTCGAAAGGGTGCATCTGACCTTGAAGCCATTAATTGCTGCGAGAAAATAAAAGCAGTAAAATTAAAGTTTCTAGTAGTTGATACAATCAGAACTGCCAGTATATATCATACTTAAAAATATGCACACCTTGAGATGATCCATCGCTGCCAGATTAAAACCAAGAGTGTCTTTGCATTCCTGAAATGATCCAAACATCATTTCATCAGCAAAAACATACCTACCTTCACATTTTGAGTTTTTTAGTGCAGAAAATATTACCAAGTATGTATGGCTTCTTACAGGTTCAGCACTTTTAAAAAACTACTCCTTTTTCTTAAGCAGCCAAAGAGGCTTTCATTTTGATGGAAAGCAACATAAAGTCATTTGAAATTTGGTCAAATGAAGAAGTCACCTAAACTTTGGCAATAATGAGATGTCCTTAGTAGGTGCAACAAGTCACATTAGGAAGACTACAGTTACAGCTGCAGAATGCAGGGGTCTAAGGGATGGCCATCCAAAGGCTTGGAGGCAGGAAATTAAAAAAAAATCAAGCGATAATGCCTTGAAAATCATGCATGTTCTTGTAGGAAAAATTAGAAGAGTTGACATTAACTGTGTTTCTATATGAAAGCAAATAAGAGTAGTTGATAGCTTGGTAAACAAAGGCCAGACAGTGGATGATTTTAGTGTTGGATTTAGTCAGTTTCGAGTCAGGCTACTTGTACTAAAGCAAACAATGTCCTACTGAGAATGTAATTGGGAAGCACATTAGAGGAATTTCGTTTCCTTCTTGGCTACTTGTACTACAAACTTTTATTAGATAGATTTCACAAAAAAAAAAAAAACCAAAAGAAAAGTTGACGCATTTGCCAAGAGTAAATTCTAAAGCAAACAATGTCCCTAAGAAGCCAAATGATAATATGCCAAAATTCAAACAAAAAACTGGAAGTCAAATGAAAAACGATTATCCTCCAAGAATGGACTCCCTGTGGACCAATGCTACTTGCAAATGATAGATATACACAAAATTAGAAGAAATGACAATTTTATTTTCAGGAATTGATTAGATCTTCCACACTGGGTCCCTTTTTTGAATACTCTTTGCATCCCGTACTGTTCTGAATAAGCAAGATAATTGAACTACTCAAAGTGGAGAGGACAACTTGAAAAATGCAAACCAATGATAACAACGGACACTTATTGCCACAATTTTACAAGTTCATATTTAGACATTCACAAAAAAATTACAACACCATTTCATTTATTGCACTAGAAAATAATAAACTCAATGTGAGGCCCATTTTTATTTTTTTGAAACTAACTTACAAGAGCAACATGCAAACATACGGACAAATTCCTTATCGTTCTTTAAATAGGGATAGATTTCACTAAGATGCCCCACGTTCTATAACTTACTTACAATAGCGCTATGATGTTTGAGAAATGACATTGAGACACATGCAGGAGATTTTAAGCGGAAATCATTAAAGCAATGATCATTTCACCGTTATTTTACCGATTAAACAATCATTGAAAAAAAGAACATATGCGGGATTGGAAAACTAAATTTGGTTGATATCAGCACATAGGGGGTGTTTTGGTCACAACAGACAAAAGTGAGAGGATCCTTGCGTCATTTCTTAGTTGTTAATGGGCCTGCATATCCCTTTGTCAAAACTCAGGAACGGTCAGTGTAATTCATCCTTATCTTCTGTATTTCTAGAAGATGTTTATCAAAAGTGAGTTATATAGTTTCTGAACAATGTAAAGATGCAAACGTGACCAGTTGAAATGTAATATGAAACTGACTCACAAATTACCTTGACTCTTGCATGAAGAATGTCTTTTAGAAGAGTCAAGACGGGTCTGGCAGCTGCAGTCGTAACCAGTTGGTTGTGATGCAATTGCAATAGCAATGTAGCGACCCTGCAGACAAGCTCTACCTGCAGGTATAATGAGCAAAACAAAGCAATCAGTAAACCTACTTGATGTAAGCAGCAGAAGAAAATGCACCTTATGCAATATTCAAATCAGGAAACAAACTTGCAAACAATCTGCCTCACAAATAAAACAAATATAAAGGTTTGACGTCTTTAATCACAGATTTCAAAGCCAATTTAAGAAAACGTAAAGGTCTAAGGAGGCCCCTTGCAACGTAAAGAGCACTAACCTCTTAAATTACTCCCTGGACTTAAAGTATAGCAAAAAGGGCCATTTTCATTCAACAAGCTGTGGATCAAGAAAAATTCTCATATTCCAACCAGGGTGGATGGTAAGCACTAAACAGGTAACGCGGAGACATGACTACCTATGAAACAAGAAGAACCCAGCATGCATCCTCAGCCATCAGGAGGGATGATCCATCTATTAATCCCAGATCACTATTCCATAGCATTACTTATAAAAGCATTGACCTGGCATCGAAAGACTAATGGGTTGGCTGAAATAGTACTTGGAATCTAGATTGCAAGTCATTCAGAAGATAATGGGCTGCACTCTATTATCAAAAGCCAGCCCATTATTTTTCAGTCTAGGATGACTATCACCATAAGCAGGAGAACGAGAGCTTCTACCCATAGGTATGCAAAGAAGGCACAGGACATGCCATGGACGTCACGCAGTCGAGAAGGCTCAAATTCGAGAAATCTGCAAATTTGAACTCCTAGCCAGGCAAGTAGTACAGATTTTAGCAACATGACATTCCATGATGCGAAGCTTCAGACTTTCCTCAGCTCGGAACAGAGACAAGATGACCCAAAAATGACTCAATACATGAAATTATTACATCGAAGCTCCTGAAAAAATCAAAAAGATCCATTCCAAAGTTTTGTGCAAGAGATAATGTATGGTCGTTAAACAATTCTTGCTCACAAGTTTATTTAAATGAAGCAGTTTCAAGAGGTCATCTCACATCTGATTTTAATGCAAGGAGACTAGCAGTAATTCTTAACTAAAGCAAAAATGGAGCTATCAGGCCTCCATAAACTTGCTAATGGAGAGTTCAATCTGGGAAGGCTCAAGAATTGAGATGCATATGACAGACATCCAATACGTTTGTAGTGCACATAGTTTAACCTTATCAGGAATTGAGGCCCAATCCTTCAAGTAAGACAAAAGCTTCAAAGCATCTGAGAATGGAACTGCCTGCAAGAAACTTCTTGTTTAGAAATGCAGTAGGATGCCCCAATGGGGTGAAAATTCTCTTCAACCCCCCAAAAAAATTTTAATTCAACTAAAATGGACAACTTCAAGCTCCCTCAGCATATGATACAGCACCACTCACATACCAGCAATGTCTGCTCCAAATCATTGGTGTGAACATTTGAAAGCGCACGAAGAATGTAATCAGATGGAGAAAGCCCAAGCATAAGAATGTTTGGTTGGAACTCCGCCACTTTTCCCCTTGTTTTCTCCTCCTGAAAATTGCAAAACATATCAATTCACCTACGAATGTTCAAAATCAGATTCCAGATGTCCACATAGTTTGTCACCAGTGAGAATTCCATTACTAGTTACCTACTCCAGAAATTAAAACCTCCAGAATCCTTATTCGAGCAACATTTGGAATTTAAGAAGATAACAGGATAAAATTCATAACTAACACATGCGTTAACCAAAATTCAGCCATACGATCTAACAAATTCAGGTTAAATGCAGGGTATGAAAAAGGAAACAACAAAGAGTTTTCCAGTAACGCCCAAAATCCCTCTTGGAAGGCATTACTATCTATACACATCCAAACCATGAGATCAACTAATGATATCCATAAATAAGTTGAAGTCAATTCATCATTCATTGCAGCTAGAGCATAATCCAAAACCAATATATGCAATATTTGAAATTACAACCAAAACTGAAGTAGTATTGTTCCAAACAGTAACAAAAGAATGTTTACTACATCATTCCAAACCAACACAATCAAAAGATAATCTTTTATGATAAAATCTCTAAATATCCGCCTCGGGATCTACATCACTATCTTCCCAATTTACGTGCCCATCTAATCTCAACTCCTCTAATATGTAATCTGAAAAAAGATGGTTGTAGGGAGTGAGCACTAAGCTCGGTAGGAAAATCCTCCCAAAAACAAGCAAGGTTTTGAAAACATATAAAACTGGTCGGTCTCACTTTATAAAATATCATATACAACTTTTTAATTAAAACAATGAAAATTTATCAAATCTCAAGTTTAAACTAAGCACAATCAAATAAATGAAGTATTAAACCAACTTTCAAACAATAAATTATTACCAACACTGTCTTTCAAGTACGCAGTAAGACTATCATGAATACCCACACTGAGAATATCCTAACCCACACATACAAACCCAATTCTCGCAAGAATACATAACTATAGAAAGGGCATATACCAACGCATCGACAGTGACGAATCCAACCAAGAATAGTATATTAACCCCCAGCCTCGATACCCATGAGAGAATAGTAGTTTGATCCTTGCGAGGCACCGATCCCACTACGAGTGGGAACCTTCAAACCCCTCGGGGTAAAAAATGCATCTATCCACTGTACGATAACCAGTCAACGGTAACCTATGGTTCATCAAACCACCCATACAAGGGATAATAATATTCCGAACCAATTCACCAAAGCAAGTGTAATTCAAGAACCATAATTTCACAAGCGTTTTCCAAAAGAACGATTCAATAAACATGCAAGCGATCATCAAGAAACGTAATATTATTGTTCAAAACCAAACACTAGATTTTCAAATGAAGAACAAGAGAAAAATAGTTTGATAACAAAAACTTCAATAGACCTCCTTCTATTTCAAATGATTTTCAAAACCAAACTTGAGGTCTAGGAGTTTGATAACAAAAACAATAGTTTCATGAATATAAAACATAGACCTCCTTTAAAAACATTATATAACTTGCAAGGAAAACAAGATTCGATGATTACATATTATATTTATAGGATTTATAATCAAAACATACATATAAATTAATCCTAACCTCAATGAACGAGTTTATGAAGAAATCTCTACCTTCAAATCCGATGTTTGATGAAACCCTAATACTTTGATCCGTCTCCTAAGCAAAAATCCCTTCAAATCCTTGGGTTTCCTCCTCATCTCTTGCTCTCTAGGATTTTCTAGGGTTCTAAACTGATAAAATATGGCTAAGGAGGCGTCCTTAGGTATTTATAGAGTTATCATTTGAACAGGAATCACAAGTCTGGTCGATGTTAAAATTACACCGGCGTTCGAACGTTGCAAACTCCCAATATCTCAATTTCTACCAGACTTTTTGTTAGGCACCAAAGTACTATGACTAGCTAACGTTTGAACATGATTTGCGTTCGAACGTGAACCCAGTTTCCTGCTTCAACTTCGAGTCCAATTTTGACCTACTTAGAAATTAATTCATGAAATCTTTGTCAAATACACTATTGTAACTCTTGGGATCTAGTTTCTTCTGTCAAAATTGCTGGTCAATCTAATGTCAAACTAAAAAGTTATGGATAAATTACCAAGGCAGCATCTAGGTATTTATAGGGTCAGCTTCCCAAGATTCGAATCACTCCTAATACACCCTATATCCCTATTCCTAAACCACTTATTATTCATGCAACACGTAATACACAATATGCATTATTTTAAATACATGGGGGTTTACATTTCCTCCACCTACAAGACATATCTAACCAGATAAACTAGAATAATTGTCATTGCTTAAACTTCATTTGAGACTGAGTTCTTCCTTTGCCCCCGCGTGGGTGCCAGGGAGGGGGGGGAGTTAAATAGCAGCACAATATCACTGGAAATAGAAGCAGCAAAGCAAACCATCATCTGGAAATGATTACTGGAAGAAGATGGTGCAACTTCCAGAAACTCATAACCCGAGATATGGATGTAAAGCTTATCTAATTTTTGAAGATGATTCGCATAACCTCAAAGCTCTACCAGTAAGGCAATAACATCTTTTCTTTTCAGAATAATAACATTAGAAAGAACACAAACTAGAATAGATACAATTATATAAAATATTCCCTTTCAGGCATATAACATCATGGAAGGAGTAAAATAATGAATCCCTTGTGTGTACAGTTGCCTTAATTCAACTTCCATCTTTAATTGCTCTTTCCTGCCCACTATCCTTTCTTTGATAATTATCAGCTCACGTAATGCAGCGTCATTCAATTCTGTCAGGTCCACCAATCAAGGGCTGCATGCTCAACCTTCAATGCATGGAACTTAGATTGCGTATCTCGCTGCTCACACTTGGGGAAAAAGACGGTCACTAAAAATTACCAGTGGGAATGGAAAATACTGCTTAGCCATTTCCAAAAAAAAAATGGAAACTGAGTCTCAAGTTGGTGAAAAAAGAAAGCTTCACATGCAACCACTTTTACACAGCAAAGCTGCAGTGCAGTTGTAAAGGTGTAAACCCTTTGGCTGTCCACTAGAATTTCATGCCTTTGCAGACAATAAAGGAAAACCTAATGACATGTAACCAAACAGATCCAATACTTGTTAGAATGCATGTTAAAAGGTGGCCAGGAGAGATTATAAAAATGAAAACAGAAAAATCAATAAGTAAAGTGAGCATGGTATACATTCTACTCATTCCACAACCTTCCAGCTTATGGGTGACAAAAAACTCAATGGGTATAGAACTGTTTTCACACAGTTCTATTAAAAGATATAAGTCCTCATGACAATCATATCCAAACACAGCAATCACTATATATCATTTGAACAGCATTTCACGCTCCTATACACTTATTTTCAGTTGCATACCTCATATTCAGCTATACGCTTCAATTCTGCCTCTGCCATATCTAATGCTTCAATAATTGAGTCAGTTGCAGTAAGCGTTTCTTGTGTTTTCTTCCCTGCTAAGGCCACAGCTCCCTCGTATGGAAGTTCTTCCTTGGGTGCGTACCGGTTTTCCAATGAAGTGTCAAGGTCGGACTCAAACATCTGTTCTAACCTTTTCTCTTTCTCTTCCTGCAAATTCAAAACATGCAATTCATTGTATGGGGCAACGATGACAGTAAAGCTTCATATCTAGGACTCATTAATGGGACCATTTGGGAGGTATGTTGACTGCAAATTTTTTGTCCAAGCAAAACCCTTTTAGCATAATAGCAGAAACTAGAAAGCAATACCTCAATGAAAAATGGTTCTTCAGTACGATCCCAACGGCGTATGGATCGGTCATGAGATCCTGTGACTAGAAAATCACCACGGTTGCTGATAGAGAGACACCAAACCTCAGCATGGTGACCTTCAAGAGTTAAAAGCAGCTCAAACTTATCAGCATCCCAGTATTTCACAAGGCGATCTTTCCCAACACTGAACATGTAATGCGTATTGCGTACAAATCTCACTGACATAACACTGACATGGAAAGAGCTCATCAGAATGGCATACCAGCTTTACCTATACATCCGGACTACAAAAAAAATGAGTAATATGACAGTTTTTCTAATTGATGAAGCACCTGTCAGCATGAGCGAAAATGGATTTATGGCAGTCACCAAAATCCAAACCCCAGATCTTCAAATTTTTATCGGCAGAGCCACTAACAATCAAATCTCCATCAGATGAAATATCCATACATAGCACAGGCAGCTTGTGACCATATAATGAAAGGAAAAATTTAAGTGAATCCATGTAGAAAACCTGACAATATAAACCAGTGGGATTATCACCAACAGAACACTTTGGTATTCAAAACTAGACAGACTTTGTAAACAATAACTAATCCATTCAATCATGGAACCCAAAATATAAATAAATACATAAGAAGTAAATACATACTTAGCCTTCACATTCATCCATAAAAGAATGTCATCTCGCCTACAATGATCTTAGAGAGTTATACAAGCGGATGACCCAATCATTTTATAGCCACAAGAGGCCACATTTTTTACAACTATTATATGCCGCAATCACATTATCAAAGAATATAATACTAAGCCTCAGTATATCAGGCCTTGTCACACCACCTTGAAAGGCATGTTCCACAATATACTTGCATCACTATATTCAAAGAGCACCTGTGGGTCCCACCACATACCATTAGCACATTGGCACACATCTAATCAATAATAACTAACAGATGGGTGCATAATCAATAGAACTGGAGGTTTGGTCCCTGAAGGCCGGCTGTTGGTAGGTTGTTTCAACCCCATGGACAATGTTGTCAAGGCTTTGGTTGAATAAAGGATGACAAAGGACATCAGCAGCAACTAAAAATTACAAAAGAAGGCTCAAGTTCTCAAACCGCGGCATATCACCTACTTGGGAGGTCTATTATTTGTGTCTAAGATTCTTTACTTTTATCCCTCAATTGTCCTTTAAATTTTCTTCTATTTTCCTTGAGAAAAAAGTTGTCCTAATTTCTATCGCAGTCACTTATGTTCTCTTAAGCTTTTACGCTATGGCAATTTGGTTTTTGTTATTGGGGCTATGGAGGGGGTTCCCAAGTTGGCCTTAGTCAATGGGCGTCAAGCTATGTGGGCCAACTAAGTCCAACTGAGAGTAAAATTCACAATGTCAATACTCCAAGTGTCAGTCTTCAAAATCAACTTGGGATCCAAGATATTTTGGCACCAAGTTATTCCAGGTTTCCAAGTCTTATCCATTTATTTATATGATGTCTGAACAACTAGTCCAAAACCCCAAACCTTATCCTACAGGCCCAAACCCAACCATACTCAGCCCCTTAAGACTTCTTTACTGTAGCCTGTCTATTATAGTGCTGAAGCTTAAAGATCCCGCATTATTAAACGTTAAAGACACACACAATAAGCTTTTGTAATTTCCAAGTAGTTAATATATTTAGAGTCAAAGCTACTTGTCACAAGAACATCACGATAGAAATAATAGCAAGTGTTAACATTGTTTATTGTGCAGTCTTTAAGTAGGAGACTTTGATTCCATTAACAAATTAGATTAACTTGCAATGGAGTCTAGTATTCATTTTGTAGTTTAGTAACACAATTGTCAATACCGCTCCAAAAATAACTGATGCTGTTTTTACTAGAACTATCTTCTTACCAGTGTAATTTTATGGGAAAAAAAGAGATTTCACTTCACATACAAGGATAAAATCTCATTCACAAGTAGATGGACTAATATTTCCCAATCATAATCTGAAATATCCAACACCAGGGAGGAAATGCACTTTTTTCTAAGCAAATAAGTATAAAACCCTTATAGTAAGCACAAGTGAGAAGGAAAGACCAATGAGCCTGTCTTTCACCCCATGCATTTTCTGAGTACTTCTAGGTGAAGCTGTTGGACTTGGGGCAATATGTCTCCCAATTCTATTTGGGCCTTGATTTGTAGATTGGTTGTGCTAGAGGCATCAGAAAGGATAATAGGTCATAAACCCATGACAGGATTTGCATACCATGTGCCTATACTTCACCTCTAGTGTGGATTATACAACCTTACAAACAAATCCCACCACCTCAAGTGCAGCCAACCTGGTCTTCCAAAATATCTTGTAAATTTAGTTCCATGGAAACTTTAATTCCAAAGGAATGCTCCAACCAACTAAATAAACTGAATTCTCTCTCCGGCTAGTTATTATACCATCAAAATGCATAATTTCATTTAAATACTACGAGCCTTGTGCGGTAATAAAAATTTACAACCACCACGAAATGCTCAAAACTAAACCTGCAAACCATAGAAACGAATAGACGTGTGGTCAAACAAACAAATTGGAAGAATAATTACAAAATTGTTAATATCTTGTATACAGTGTGTTAAGTTTGGAGGATTAACATCGTATTAGAGACAGAGAGAGGTTAAAAACTTAACCTATCTCTCATACATCACTTGTATTTATAGTTAACCTACAATAATAAGAATTACACATTTAACCTCTTACTATTAACAATTTACACATACTACCCTACTATTCTTAACACTCCTTCTCAAGTTGGACTATATATATCATAAAATCCAAGCTTGGAACAAATAGCTGTAAGACGTGTACGACTCAATACTTTGGTAAACATATCTGCAAGCTGATTTTCGGATTTCACAAATGGAGTTGTAATCTCCCCAGCCACTATTTTGTCCCAAATAAAGTAACAATCAACCTCAATATGTTTGGTTCGCTCATGAAACACAAGATTGACAACAATATAGATAGCTGTCTGGTTGTCACAGAACAACTATAAAGGAAGTTGAACTGAAAACCCAATTTCCTGGAGGAAGTGTAATAGCCAAGTCAACTCACAAGTCGTATGTGTTATTGCCCTATAATCAGCCTCAACACTGGATCTTGTTACCACGGGTTGTTTCTTACTTTTCCATGAGACAACATTCCCTCCTAAGAGAGTACAATAACCAGTGGTTGATCTCCGATCAGAAGGAGAGTCAGCTCAATTAGCATCTAAGAAATCTTCCACTCTAAGATGTCTATTAGCTCGATATAACAATCCAAGTCCAAGAGCTCGTTTGAGATATCGCAGAATACGAGTAACTGCCTCCCAATGTGGTACTCTAGGACATCCCATGAACTGACTTATTATACTGACTGCATAGGAAATATCCAGTCGAATAATAGTGAGATAATTAAACTTTCCAACCAATCTGCAATACCGACCCGAATTTTTAAACAATGTACCATCATTAATCAATAATTTCTGATTCAGATTCATAGGAACATCAATCGGTCTACCACCTAGCAAACCTGTTTCCTCAAACATGTCAAGTACATATTTCCTCTGGGATAAATAAATACCCTGTTTAGATCGAGCCACCTTAATACCCAAGAAATACCTGAGTTTTCCCAAATCTTTAGTATGAAATCGATCTTGTAAGAATATTTTTAACTTGACAATCCACTCAAAATCATTTTCCATAATCACAATATCATCTATATAGACCACCAATAGGACATATCCAGCATCTGTCTGTCTATGAAACACAGAATGATCTGTCTGACATCGAAGGAGACCAAACTCTAAAACTGCATCTGAAAACTTACCAAACTATGGCCTCGGTTACTACTTCAAATCATACAAAGATTTCTTTAACCGACATACACTCTTACTATACTCCCCCTGAGCAGTAAACCCAGGTAGCTGCTCCATGTATACCTCTTCAATCAAATCACCATGTAAGAGGGCATTCTTGACATCTAACTGAAACAAGGGTCAATCAAGATTAGTAGTCAAAGAAATCAAGATACGAATAGAGAAAATTTTGACAATAGGAGAAAAAGTTTCCTTATAATCAAACACCATAAGTTTGAGTAAAGCCCTTTGCAATAAGCCGGGCTTTGAGACGCTCTACAGAATCATCAGGATGAAATTTAACAGTATACACCCAACGACAGCCAACAGTTCGTTTACCAGAGGGTAAAGGAACGAGATCTCAAATTCTATTATGATGTAAAGCATCCATCTCCTCCTCCATAACTTTCCTCCAACCCGGATCAGATAATACATTCTGTAAATGCTTAAAAATAGATATAGCAGATAATTGGGAAGTAAAACAAAAAAAGACAAGACACAAGGCATCATATGAAACAAAATGAGATTTTGGATGATTAATAACACACGAACGAGTACCTTTACAAAGAGCAATAGGTAAAGAATCCAAATTACCTGATATACCAAGATCAGAAGACGGAAAGGAAGGCGGTACGGACACCTCAGTCGATGGGCGCGGACGGTGAGAGTAGACATAGAGAGGTAAAGTAGATGGTAACACAGTGGACAGCGGAATATCTGAAGATGAGGAAAGAGATGGTGATACAGGAGCGGATCCAAAGTCCAGATCCAAAGGCTGAGAAGGAACTGGAAAGTATGGAATAGATTCTTCAAACGTGACATCAGCACTAGTAAAGTATCGGTACAGAGAAGGACTATAGCAACGATATCCCTTCTGCGTGCCGAAGTAACCAAGAAATACACATTTGGTAGCTCGAGGATCAAGTTTGTCAAACCCAGGACCCAAATTGTGAACATAACAGATACAACCAAAAGTTTTAGGAATCAAGGAAAATAAGAACTTACCAGGAAAAATGATAGAATATAGACTTTGCCCATTTAACACAGAGGATGACACACAATTAATAAGATAACAAGCAGTAAGAACAGCATCACTCCAATAATATCGAGAAATATTCATCTGGAATAACAGGGCACGGGTGATTTCCAACAAATGACGGTTCTTGCGTTCAACAACACCATTTTGTGGAGAGGTAAGCACAAGAGGTCCGATGAATAATGACAATTTTACTAAGATACATTAAAAAATAATCAGATTTATATTCCTGAGCATTATCGGAACGTAAAGTACGTATACGACAACCAAACTGAGTTTTTATTTCATTACGTAAAGTCGCAAATATGGAGAATAATTCAGACTGAACTTTCATAAAAAATAACCAAGTCACACGAGAATAGTCATCCACAAATGTGACAAAATAAGGATATTTATTAGATGATATATTTTTTATTAGACCCCATACATCATAATGGACTAAACACACGATTATTGACTCTAGACTGAAATTACACACGGTGATACTTACTAAGTTAACAAGCTTCACAAGACAAAGACGACACAAAACAAAGACTGGAAACTTGACGCTTCAGATTCTGGAGAGAGGGATGTCTAAGACAATAATGTCATTGAAAAGGAAACAACGAAGTCTGTAGTGCCCGAATAGGTGAATCAAAGTCGAGGTAATATAAGCCACCATCTTCATGTCCCGTATCAATCTTCTTTTTCGTCTTGAGATCCTGAAAGACACAATAAGAGGGATAAAAAGTTACAGAACAATTGAGAGAACGAGTTATCTTGCTAATGAAAAGTAAACTAAAAAGAAACTGAGGAACAAATAACACAGAAGATAGGGACATATCAGGACTCAAGTGAGTAGTCCCCAGACCTGAAACTTGAGAACAAGTACCATTAGCAAGAGTAACACTACGTGTGGAAGTAACAGACTGATAAGTAGAAAAAATATTAGACGCATCAGTCATATGATCAGAGGCGCCAGAGTCTATGATACAAAAACTGTGAGTGTATGAAAGCCGCAACAAAGGTGTCTTCTTGACAAGAAACCTGATTCACAGTACCAGAAGGTTTTCCATGTAAATCCAACAGAAATCAACAGTATACCCTCCACGACCACAATGAATACAAGAATGTGGTCCACTACGACCCTCGCGACCACCCGTACGACCTCCTCGATCACCACAACCACCTCGATGACCATCACTACGACTACTAGGAACTACAAGAGCTGAGCGATTAATGAAAACACCATGATTGATACCTGAAGTAGACAAAGTAACACGTTGTATGCAAGAGAAAACCTCAAGTAGTGAGAGAAGAGTAGAGCCACCCAAAATCTGAGAAAAAATACCCTCATATTCAGGTTTCACACCTACCAAAAACCTAACAACATTTATATCCTCATGTTGCATCTGCTAAACTGCTACATCAGTAGTAAATGGATGGTAGGTCTTCATCTTCTCACAGACTCCCCGAACGTGAGAGTAATAATCCTCAATACTCAAAGTACTCTGTTCCAGCCGAAAATACTCCTTGCACACCTCATAAGGTTGGGTAAAATTGTCTATACCAGAATACATAGTGACCAAGTGATCTCATATCTCCTTGGCAGTGTCAAGGTAGAGCAGAGTAGAACTAATACTAGGCTTAATGCTATTTAATAGTAAAGAAATAATCTAAACATCCTCTTGTTCCCACTAATCATACCCAAGAGTGTCTTCTTTGGGTTTAAGATTCACCAAATATTTCTTAAATCCTTTGTCTCGAATAAAAACTTGAACAGATCGAGACCATAAAGTGTAATTAGTCCCATTAAGTTTGACAGAGGTCATAAGACCATTAACAAGAGTCAGAGGAGGCAAAGATGGAGTAAGGGACCTAGTATCTTGCTTGGGTTCCATAATAGTGCAGCAAATAGCAAACAAAGTAGCTGCTGCAAGTACCAGGAGAAAAGAATGTTGTTGGAGAACTAAACCGGAAGAAAGGAAGCAGCTGGAGTACTGAACCGGGCTGGAAAATTGGGTTAGACCACTAAACCAGAATGGCAAAGTGGGTTAGACAACTAAACCGGACCCTCCTACTTGCTGGAATGCTGAACCGGGTTGGAAAACATGGCAGAACCACTGAACCGGACCCCTTCTACTTGCTGGAATACTGAACCGGATTAGAAAATTAGGCTTAACCACTGAACCGGACCAGTAAGGCTCTCTGGACCGCTGAACCGGACCGGTTAGGCCCTCTAGACTACTAAACCGCCCTGAACCGTGATCCGATCTAGATGAACCATGGCTGGACCGGGATTGGACTTAAAACAATTTAAGTCAGCTTGACTCGATTTGAACCAGATCCAACGCTCGGATTGGATCCTGTCTTCTTCTTCGCTGATTAGGGTTCCAAAAGGACCCTCTAGTCTACGACACATCACACACCACAAGAGACGACCACCACTGCCACCACACAAAAGGACTCTCTAGTCTGCGACACAGCACACACCACAAGCGACAACTACCACTGCCACCACACACCACAGCCACCACAACCACACCATTACTATGAAGAGTACTACTCGACGGTGAACCGAAGCCACATCACCACCACAAGCAATCACGCCACCACACCACCAGGGGCCACCACAACACCACCACCACCACGAACGATGCAAGTGGGTGATGAACAGAGACCACACGATGAACAATGTTAATATATGTAGGATCGTTTGTGCTCTGATACCATGTTAAGTTTGGAGGATTAACATCATATTAGAGACAAAGAGAGAGGTTAAAAACTTAACATAACTCTCATACATCACTTGTATTTATAGTTAACCTACAATAATAAGAATTACACATTTAACCTCTTACTATTAACAATTTACACATACTACCCTATTATTCTTAACACAGGGGACCTATTCCTATCTTCGAATTTCTCCAACATATGATTTTGTGTCAATTTGATTATTTTTCTTTGAGGTTCACAGGGGACCTAGTTTCAATACTGCAGATAGAACATTTACGTTGGATCATAAGGTTCAATCCACAGACAGAAACATAGGGACCTCATTTTGCTTCCCTGAAACAATTTCAAAATAAATAAAACAGAAACGAAGGAACACAGACATAAAAAAAATCTGACCTTCACTGTGCAATCCAACAGGGCAACAGCAATATGTTTATAATCAGGGCTCACAGCAACCACAAGAACATCATCATTCATTTTCAGATTCCTCACATGAGACACTGTTAGGTGCTTAGAATCCTGTGAACCGGACAGAATAACATATTATTACTAACAAAACATATATGGAGCTTCCCTGTCAGCAGTTACAAGGACATTTCCAACTACAAACTGCAATGATTGTCCAGCACTATATCAAAATAAGTCATTGATACGAGAGGGAGACGATAGATGCAAAAAATAAACCAGTAAAAAACAAAGGAACATGCCCATAATTTTTGACAGAGTTTCGTCAGTTAAATCACACACCAATGACAACCACTCTGACTCAAAAGAATGTGGAAGCTTAGCAACACTGCCATTTGCAGTAACCCAAAATATGTGACATGATAATTGCTATATCTTCTAATCTGAAGCCAAAATTATGAGTACTAATCACCATTTTAAAATGACATAATCATTTCCAAGTATCTTCAATTACTATTGAGTCCACATATTTTAAAAATAATTCATAAGAATTCTAGGAAAGAAAGCTAGATGAGTAAAATAACCATTTCCAAGAATCAACAAATGAATTACTATTGAATTCACATATAATAAAAAATAATTTGTAAAAAATTTAGGAAAGAAAGCTATAAGAGCTCATTTTGCTAATTGGCATCACTTTCATCTTAGAAAGTTAAAACATATCATTCCAAATAATGATGCCAATAAACACATACATAGAACAAATGAATTACTATTGAATTCACATATAGAAAAAATAATATGTAAAAAATTTAGGAAAGAAAGCTATAAGAGTTCATTTTGCTAATTGGCATCACTTTCATCTTAGAAAGTTAAACCATATCATTCCAAAGAATGATGTCAATAAACACATACATAGGACACACACACAGAGATGGGGAAGAGAAAATCAAAACAGAGTTTCACGTAGAGACAAAAGTTTCTTCAAATTTCAGGGAACAGAAATAGGATTGTTGCAAGGTCTTAAATGAAGAAGATGTTATCCACAGAAGGTATGGCCATTTCAGTCATAGTATGATGTACAGAAAGGAATAGTCTCATGGTATAATGTGACCATAGAGGTTGTTCATTTCTTTTTAATATGATCATAGAGCTTGTTCTTATGACAAGGATAATTAGATTGGAGCATCTGCCAATAATACCTATGCAGGATACACAAGGCTCAACAGAAATAGGAACAGAGTTAAGCCACACAAAAACAGAAGAATAAAAATTGTAAGAACGCACTTGACCAGTTTTTTGTGTAGTTTGATACTCCCAGAACTTAACATCATGATCCGTGCTGCCAGTGACGAAACCGCTTCCATCTGGAGTTGTCACGATTGATTGAACAGAGCCACCATGAGCTTCAACTACTTCCACACAAGTCCCACTATGAACATCAATAATTTCTAGCATCCCACCTTTTGTACCAACCACAGCATACTTGTTACCAGGAACAAATAAACCACACAATCCATATCCCGAATCAATAGTTCGGAGGCAAGAACCAGAACTTGGATTCCATATCTTTACTGCACTGTGACTAGTTGACATTAAAAGAGTGTTATCTGAACTAAGTGTAACACTCCTCACATCCGAATGATGACCCTGGAGCTCAATAGCAACAGTTTTTGAGAACGAACTACTATCAATTGCATAAGTTTCCAGTATATTATTGTTTAAGGACAATGCTAAAGTGGCGATGGAGCTCTTTGGAGTGATTGGACAGAAGGAAATAGAGCATATCTTCTTGCTAGCTCGGATAGTCTGAAGAAGCTTAAAAACATCAGGGACTGTAACACTGGTAGCGGCGCCTTCTTCTTCAACTCCATGGTTTGCAACTCCATTATCAATTACCTCAACCACTTCTTTTGAAGATTTCTTTTCCTTCTTCCTATTAATTCTCCTTTTCGCTTTACGCTTGGATTCAGCCTCATCCAGTACCCGGAATATATCTACTGTCCTCCCTGCAACTTGACAAGCTAACAAATTTCCAGACTTATTGAACCTCACAGTTGCAACTCTATCCTTGCTCTGTCGCTGAATTTCACCAAACAGTTTCAAGACTTCCCATTTGTTTTGAGTGGACAAGTCTGAATTGGTCACAGCATCAGGTCCATTAACGCTAGATACCAATTGCCCGTGCACCAAATCATGCTTTATTGTGTAAAACCGAAGCTCTGGGTCTGCCGACCCAGTGACCAGATATCTCTCATTAGAGTCAGTATCTATGGACCATATTTCACTATGATGGCCACTAATAATTTGCACACAGTGTTGGGTTTCAAGATCCCAAACCCTCAAAAACTTGTCCTTGGAGGAACTAACTAGTTTTTTGCCAGCATCCAAGAAAACAATGTCAGTTACCTAGATTATACAAAGAAACAACAAGTTCACAGAATTCCAGATTAGATGTGACGGAAAAAAAGCATAAAGAATAAGCCACTTCTGATTAAAATTAAAGAAACAAGACTAAATAGCTGAAATATAAACCTGGTCACGGTGGCCACGAAGACGAAAAAGCCCTGCCTCACCAATCACATCCCATAAGATAATATCGTTTTCTTTACTTCCAGAAGCAAGCAAAGATCCAAGGTTATCGTACCTAAGGGTGGTCACAGCCCCTTTATGTCCATTCAACGTGGTTTCACATGTACCTTTCTCACAATCCCAAATTCTTATGCTACCATCAGCATACCCACAAGCTATCTGCAATCAAAACAAACAGTTCCTCACTTCCACATCCGCTAATCAACTCAAAAAAAATCTATATTCACACCCATGTCAGCAGACACTTAATTGCGACACCAAAAACAGACATGCACCCAAGTCCAATTTCTCACTTTCCAGCCTGAAGTTCCAAAATAAAAGAGAGCCTCCCCACCAAGAAAAAAACACAAAAAAGGAATATAAAATTTGAACCAAAATCTCCAATCAACTGATCCAAAGTTCAAAATTCTTTCCATCGCAGTTTTCTAAGCAACAAAACAAAACACCCACAAATTGTTGCGCCAGAATCTTGGTTTCCTTTCTTTGTAAGTATTCCCCATCCTCACTTTCTGTCCAATTATATGGAAGAGGCCCCAGTAAACATGTCCACTCAACAGAGCAAAAAAGTTGTCCTTTTCCCTTCCCCTCCATGTTCCATCTTGAGCCAAAAACTCATGTTTCTCTTCTTAACTCGATTCTATATAGAACCTAACGTGGTATGTGTTAATAAAATAACGCAGTATTACAATCTATTACATATTATCCTTCACATATCCTTCATTCAATGTATGTATAAATATGTTGTGTGTATATGAGTATCATATTCACCGAAAAGAAGTGTATTAGAATGTACATGAACCCATGACAAAGTTCCCACACAATTTTTCTCCAAAATCTTATTTTGCATCCTTTGTTCCACTATGGAAGCCAATTCAGTACTTTTCTAACACAATGCAACACACGTATGTATATTTATGAATACACATATATATGAATAAATTAGTGTTATATAACTATATACATATATATATGAGGAAGACAGAGAAAGCAGGTACCAGAGATGAAGGAGAGGTGGCGATGGAGGTGACGGCGAGAGTGGGCCCACGAGAGGCAATAGAAGGGGTTAGGGTTTTAGTGCAGACGCCCTGACGTACGTGCCACACCCCAACATTCTCCAGCGCCGGAGCAAGTAGGTGCTTGCCGGAGCAGTCGTATACGATGTTCGAATCCACCGATACTATCACACCGAAAGAAGCCGCCGGCTCGTACCGGAGGTACGACTTCACCATTGTTGTTCTCTCTCTCTCTCTGTCTCTCTCTCTCTCTCTCGGGTGGAGGTTTGCGGTGTGGTTCAATTTGCTTGAACGATTCGAAAGTACATGTTGGTTTTAGGGTTTATTGTTGTGAGATTAGGGTTTAGACTTTGAGGGAATATTAGACAAAATAATGCATAGCCCATTTTATTTCATTTAATTCCTTATTCAAATGCACATTTTGGGTTCAACATTATTATTTCAAAATAATTCCGGCCTGTATGAGTAGTATTTTTAATGGAGAATTTTTTTTTTTTTTTTGTTCAAAAAACACCAACAAAAATAACTGAACAACACTTGTCTGTAATCTGACCACTAATAAGGGCCTCAAAACTTGATTTTTCAAAATTTGAAGAAAACCTTCTTCAAATTTCTTCAATTTTCAACTATACAAAAATTGTAGCCCTCCAAAAATGAATTAAGAGTTTCTTATTTTAATGGGACAATGAATTTGAATTTTAAACAACATTTTTTCCCCTTTTCTAAAATCTCTCCCACATAGTTATAATTTCCATTTCCTAAAATCTCTTCCACATAATTATAATTTATCTTCCTTATGTTTATATATAATTGACTATATCTAGAATTTTCTTCCCCCTCTATTAACGGTAAATTCTAGCCTGAAATTTCTTCGTTAATTAGTTGAAAATAGTGTCACTTTGCATTATTATACTGTGACGTAACAGTGTTATTCATTGAAAGTAATATATATGAGTGTCACATTTGTAATGTCACATTATGTGGTGCACACTATTTAGATTGTGTATGAATCAATAATATAATTTCACAATTTTTTGTGAGTGATTAAAGTGTTGAAGAGAGTGTTACACTGTCATGTATCATTTAGTGTTTTAAAACCCCACCCCGGTCCGCTCAAGTTAACCCGGAACCAGCTAATTGGAGTCAAAAGTGGGCTGGTTCAATTAAAAGATCATTTGTGTGTAAAAATCGGGAAAAACTTGTTGAACCGTCCGGTTCCTAAGTGAACCGCTTAACTCGGACGAGTTTTAACAAACTGACAGATTGATGCTAATACTATAAATAAATGTGTTTTGGGGCAAATGGGTATTTTTTGCCCTAAATCATCTTTGATTGTTCTCCTCTCTTGCGAAGACATGAACGGTTCAAATCGACGACGACCTCCCCCTTCTTTTCTCTCTTTATGAGTTTTCTTCTTGGCACTGCAAGCCTGCTGTTAGGGGTGATAATCGAGTCAAGCTCGACGAGCATCACCATGCTCAGGCTCGGCTTGACATTTGAGGAAGATGTTCAAGCTCGGCTTGAGCTCGAACATCAAGCTTTTTTTTTAGCTCAAGCTCGAATTCGAGCCCTAGCTCGTATAAAGCTTGACCAAAGAAATCGAATTCAGGCTTGCGAACAGGGTTGAATTTTAACAAAATTCAACACCACTTAACACAACATAACAAATTCATAATCAACTTCTCCATGGACATCACCCAAGACACAACATGCACATGCACTAATCCACATCACCAACAAGAAAAATTGTCCATAAAGCAACCAAATTAAACAACTAGCCACATGATGAAACTAATCACAAAAATCAGTTTCAAAAGAGCATACAAATTGTCAAGTGCAAAAAAAAAAATAGCATGTTTCACAAAAAAACAGCCAAGTGCCCTCATAGTAGAGCCTGCAATGAAAAAACCATAACCAAGAATTAGTATTAGATACCTTTTAAAAAAATGATTCAAAACCATAACCAAGAATTGTTACTGATACCTTTAAAAAAATGATTCAAAAACTGTTTTCCTCAAGGCTACCTCCATTCATAAATTCATTCTCTTCAACAACCTGTAAATAAGACACCAACAATGAAATTCATAGTGACTGAAACAAAATGAAAACACAAGGTAAAAATATTCTTACAATATTCGACCCGTGGATTCCAAAATCATTACGCAACCAATTTCTGGTACATATTGTGAGATCCCGTATTTCATATAAATATAAATGATATTGACTTGATATTATTTTTAAAATGATTAAAGAAATTCCTAATCATTATTAAATGAATAATCGCAAGGTTTTAGTTTGCGCGTAATGACTTTTGAGTCAAATATATAGTTGGAGGCATGTACATTTTAGAAGGGTAATTAAATAATCATTCTAAAAGTTTATAGGTCGAAATAACACCGCTATTGAATCTGAGAACGACAAAAAAAAAAAAAAAAAGTTGAGTCAGACATTTAGTCGGTATTGTGATCTAAAAGGGTAAAAAAATTATAAATTTGACATTTTGGGAATAATTTAGCTTGAATTTTTATAGACCTCATAAAAGTAAATGTTTTTAGCCTAAAATAACATTAAAAATGGATCCAGAACGTCAAAAAACCTTAGGATAGTCATATGGATCAAATCAGAGAAGTTTGGGGTAAAATCGTAATTTTAAAAAAATACATTTTTTTGGGTCTGTGAATAGTACCCGACACGATTTTCAGCCCTTATAACCCCATTTTCACCTCTGTTTCTCTCATTTTTCTCACACCTCTCACCCAATACTACTCCATAAACCTTAGAGGAAGAGATAATAAGGTCATTAGAGCTTGAGTTTTTACTTAAAAATTTAGGAACATTATTTAGGATTCTTGAATTCACTTGAAGATTTGAAGGTGGAGTTTAGGTTCTTGAATTTTGAGGTAGGGGTTTTCTTCCATCCTTGTTAATTGAGATTAGGGTATTTATATATGTATATTTTGGCTATAAATGTTATATATATGATATGAAATCATCATCTCTTAGTCTTTCTTTGCAAAATTACATATTTTGAGCAAAATTAAGGTTGAATATCCATGAAATTTCTTTTCTTGCTTTAAAATACTAAATTTTGGAGAGTGATGAATTTTTTTCTTAAATTCTTCCTTTATTATTGATTTTGAAACTATAGTGCTTGGTGTTGAGTAATAAATGATGTTGTTGTGATCTCTTATATTTTTCCTTAAATGGTTATTGGAATTGTTACCTGATAAATTTGGAAATTTTTGAGATATGCTTGTAAAATGAGAAATTGTGAATTTTGTATTTATTTGAAATTATTGTTGAATTGAGAATATTTTGATTTCCTCATTTGTATGGTTGTCGTGATGGACTTGGATTGCCATCGAGAGATGTCATAGTGTTAGAGGTTAGTTTATCCCAGTGGGGGTGAGATGGTTTCCTAACACTTGTAGTGGATTATCATTTGGTAATGCGACCACTATCGTTCACGGGAGTTCGAATAAGGGATGATATACTTTTCCTGGGAAGGGACTCGTCACTGCCATTGGGATGGTAGACGCCCTTTCTTAAAGTGCTTGTGATTGTGATTGTGATTGGTAGACTAGGTATAATCGTTGGGTAGATTCATGAGAAACAATCAACATACATAATAAGATGATAAACCAATATACATGGGATGATGTGTTAGATCGTCTTGCCGGTGCATTGGTATGAGACAATGCATCGGAAGACGCCCTTCCTAAATGGCTTAAAGTTGAAAAGGGTATATTGTTGTGAAATTTATTTTATCCTTTCAATTGATTATTGTTAAGGCTTAAACTTGAGATCTATTTAAAATGTCATATTTTTCTTTCAAAAATTGATATATGATATTTACGAAATGAAATCGACCGATTTTTATCTATTTTCTAAACCTTGTTCAGTTTGAGAGGATTTTTTTACAGAGTTTCGTACTTATCCTCTACAGTTAAATATTTTACAGATTATGGGTCAGAGGAGTAGCTCGGTGCTAACGAACCGGGCCATGGAGAAGCTTCATTAGAGGGGTACTTGAATCCCGAGTGGGACATCTAGAGATGTCGTTTATTTTTGTGCTAGACTAGGAACGATTATGTACAATCATGTAAAGTCTATTATTTTGTTTATTCCGCTACTAATTTCAAATGTAATTCTTTTGATGTAGTAGCCATAGTTGGGGCTTATTCTTTTGGATAATGTTGTAAATAATTTATGGATAAATGGATCCGGTGTGGTCAATATAGTATACTTGCACAGGTTGTGTTTTGGGTAGAGCTCCCCAAACAAAGGAGACTCTGCTCAAATTTTGTTAAATTAAAAATGTTCTTTAATGATGGATTTATTTAGTTGTTCTCATGACATGAAAGGTTTTAAATGGTAATGTCGTCTAGGGTGGTTTTTGGGGCATTGGTATCAAAGCCCAGGAATTAGGTCTTACATGAGAGTTGTAGGTTGTGGACTATCATTAGAGTATTAGTTTAGGATGAAGAAACTTTAGTTTTTGATTTGTTTGAAGTTATATGTTTACAAGAGATGTGTGATTTGTTGCTTAGTTAACTTAGAGATTAATTATTTGTTTGAATTAATGAATTAGCTAGCTTCGAGGAGTTGACGAAAATTTTGGGATGAATATTCTAGTCTTATATCATGTCGTTTTGGACTATTCTGGGAGCCGGATGGTAATTTGACTTTTTGGTTAAAGAATGATGCTAGACATGGATCCTTATGCAAGTGACATTAACTATCTTGAAGATGGATATGAGATAGGATTGGTGAAAAAAGACACTCAAACTCGAGTTGGATAAGTATAGTAGAACCATCAGTCAAGCAGACTACCTTTCACTAATTTGATCATAACTCCTTGTTAGAAAGTCCAAATTGTGCACCGTTTTTTTTTAGAAGCTTAACTCGTATATCTTTCCAACCATATAGGTCGCACATGCTAGAAATACCTGAGTTAAATCAGTTTATTCTCTGAAGTTGATCAAAAATCTGTACTGTGGTATTCCTTTTATAGCAAAGTGTTGTACTTTTCTTCTTAAATTCTGAATGACTAATCCTTAAGAAAACTTCCACTCTATTTAGGCTTTGATTTAGAGGCACTCCCATGTTGATTGAAGTATTTTGATGGATACGATTTGGTGTCTTGTCGACTCTAAGTATTCTCTCCTACTATTAGTATTGCTTATATTTTGGAAGTCAAGGAGATCTGATAACCC